ATTGGCCGTCTAGAAAATAACGGCAGGACCAGCAGGTGGCATAATGGTTACGTCGCTGAACTCCCACATAGTCTACCGTGCTTCAAGTCCTGGACCCAGCGGCTTAAAGGGATTGCAGTGTGGCCATCTTCCCAGGGGATGATTTCTCACTTTCTTCCCTCCTGCGAGCACATGTGCCCTATAGCAAAAATCTCTCAAAAAAAAAAAAAAAAAGGCAATGTGATTTGAACCTCAAACTGATGTTCCTTTGTTTTGTTTTTGAGAGGTTTCTGCGCTCAACAGAAAGACAGAGACAGAGAGATAGAAAGCGAGAAATCACCCCCGCCCAGGGGAGATGGCCATGCCGCAATCCCTTCTCCTCCATTCTCTTCTCGGGATTTTGAACACACACGCACATGCACCCAGCGTGAGTTTAAGCCACTGGGTCCAGGACTCAAACCGCGGTCAGCTATGTGGGAGTTCAGCAACATAGCCATTATGCTAACTGATGGTCCCGAACTGATGTTCTTTTTTTATACTAAATGAAAGAGAGTAGGAATTAGCCTGATTTAGTATAGAATGATGCCAAAACATGTGATTCTTTGGTGTTCATTATTGTAGCATAATCCCTATCACGCAAGTGGAAGAATGGAGAATTAGTGAATAGCAGTAACTAAAAAGACAGATAACTGAAGGAAGAGGCTATAGCCTATTATATAACCTCTCTCTCTCTTTTTTTTTTTTTTTTAGATTTTTTTGTTTTGTTTTTTGAGAGGATTTTGCTCCTCCATTCTCCTTTCGGGATCTTGGGCACGCATGCACATGTGCCCGGTGTGAGTTTAAGCCACTGGGTCCGGGACTCGAACTGCGGTTGATTACATGGGAGTCCAGCAGCATAACCATTACATTAACTGCTGGTCCCACCTCTCTTTTTTTAAATAGTATCTTTTAAAATCTAAAAGTATGGCAGCTTCATTTTATCTGGTGAGCTTCTGCCTTAAAAGTTTTCAAAATTGCAATTGCATTGAATAGGAAACAAGTCCCAACTATCAGAAACAATACCTAACTTTGACATACAACTGGCTACGTAGGCAACTTCACGATGCCTCTACCATGAAACCATACTGATTATTATTTAGTTATAATAACTTGGAAGTAGCCAAGGACAACATAAGGAAAGTAAATAAAATCAAGGAACATGCTAAAACTTGTTATCCATTTCGAAGTTCATTGATGCCGATTTTATCTTTTGTACCTCTGCTAAAAAATGAACAAAGGTTTTTGCATCTACTGTGCCATCTATTCCATTTTAAAGACTCCACATATTAAAAAAGTAGACCTTATTATAACTTTATGTCCTCTTTTCCATTACTTCCTACAACTACCTAGCTAAGTTCCTCACTGTCTTACCAGTAGTTTATGCACAGATTTGCCTACATGTTCTATGACTGTTCTTCCTCCCTAGAATGACTTTTCCCAGTGAAAAATTACTCTATCTTTCAAGAACCCAGGTTGAAGTCCTCCCTCCTCCTTAAAGCCTTTCTTCACTCAGCGGTCCTATAAATAGGGATGACAGTATATGTCAGCATTAGTAATCTGCCACATAAGCAGTATAGTCTTGAATTTTCTGCTTCTTTGTATGGAAATCAGCTAACCTAATTAGAAGTCATAAAGCCAGATAATGACACAGTTGTGAAACAGAACACTCTACAAGAAGTCCCACATTGGAAGGTTCTTGGTCCAAGTCCAGAGAACTGCCTGAGTATGCTGGGCACACACTTGCCTGTAATCCAGGACTAGCTGAAGGCTAGAGGGTATCATGGCATCTAGACTCTATTGGGGGTTCTCTCTCTCTTACTCATGGAAGAAATAAATATTTAAAGAAATAAAAAGTTTCTTTAAAGGCAGAAGCCATGTCTTACCCATCTGAATCCCACATGTACTTAAAATACTTAGCCCACCTTAAGTGCTATATCAATGCTTGATCAAATAATGAAACTAGACTCTTTTTATTTTCTCAAAAAAAAAAAAAAACCTTTCAGAGATAGGAAAAGTAGAAGTAAATGAATAAATAAAAAATTTACTAAGAGAAAAGAGAAATATTGGGTTGCTGGAAAAGCCGTGACACATTTTTGCATAGAAAAACACAAATAATGTCATGACTTTTCCAACAACCCAATACATTGTTTTCCTTTAGTTCAGATTAAAATGCTTTATTTTCTATTTGAATTTCATGTTAGTATAAGTTTACATGTCTTGTCACCTATTTACCATTGAGCAGGAAAGTGAGAAAGCAAGCTGCCAGGTCCCAGACTCAAATTGCAGTCAGCCACAGAGGAGTCAAGCCCCTTAACCACTACACCACCTGCTTGCAGTATAAACTTAGTTTAATTTTTTTCCTTAATTTTTCAGTACCCATCTTGTAGGTTAAGGCCTGAGTCAAGGTACTTTGAAGGCAGGGAACAGATCTATAGAGTTTTCTTTACACATAAAATTATTTCCAGATGTCATATACTTAACATACCCATTATTTCTGATCGTTTTTACAGTGTTGGGGTAACCAGGGATACCTTGTATTGTGATCTAACTCTATTTTATTTAGCTGTTAAAGGGTTTACTGCTACTTTCTCCAAGAGGTAAAAGTATGCCAAATTTAAGAGACTTGGAAGTGAAACAGGCGTTGGTCTGTGGCTATTACCTAAGTACTGTACCCTGTTGTTATTTCTGTAGTGAATAAGTGGGATGAAGAGTGTTCATTTGTTCATTGTATTATTAAAATTGTTTGGGGGACCAGCAGGTGGCGCAGTGGTCAAGGTGCTGGATTCCCACAGCAGTCTGAGTCCCAGACCTGGCGGCTTTCTTCCTCACTTTCTTTCTCGTGCTCTCTCTCTCTGTTTTTCTGGCCAGATTAAAAATAATAATAATGGGGTTTTTCTATGCAATTTTACTATACAAAAATGTGTCAGAAAAGTCATGACACATTTTTGCATAGAAAAAACACACCATGACTTTTCTGACAACTCAATATTAAATAAAATAATTCCTTTTTATCTTTATTTATTTATTTATTGAGATTTTTGCTATAGGGCATATGTGCTGTCCAGAGAGACAGACATCAGGGATAGCCATGTTGCCATCTCTTCTCCATTTTTTTCTCAGGATTTTGGGCATGCACCCACACGTGCCCAGCGTGAGTTTCAAGCTGCTGGGTCTAGCACTCAAACGGCAGTCAGCCATGTGGGAGTCTGGGGACATAACCATTATGCCATCTGCTGGTCCCATATAATTCTTCTAAAAAGTTTCTTAAAGGGATCAGCAGTTAGCGTAATGGCTATGTCGCTGGACTACCATTTAGTCGACCACGGTTCGCATCCTGGACCCGGTGGCTTAAAACTCACGCTGGGCGCGTGTGCATGCATGCCCAAGATCCTGAGAGCAGAATGGAGGAGAAGGGATTGCGGCATGGCCATCCCCCTGGGGGGTGATTTCTCGCTTTCTGTCTCTCTGTCTGTCTCTGTCTGTCTCTGTCTGTCTGGCGAGCGCACTCACCCTATAGCAAAAATCTCTTCAAAAAAAAAAAAGTTTCTTAAAGAGGGGCCGGGTGGTAGCACAGTGGTAACTGGATCTACATGGGAAACATCCTGGGTTCACATTTTGGGACCTCCCTGAGCACACTGGGTGGGCTCATGTGCCGATGATCTGAGCCAGCTGAGACTAAGAGTGGTTTGATTTATGAAGACCTTGTTTGGGCTGCCACCGTGTGTGTGTGTGTGTGTGTGTGTGTGTGTGTGTCTGTCTGTCTGTCTGTCTGTCTGTCTGTCTTTCTCTCTCATGCTCTTTTTCTGAAGAAATAGATAAGCCTTTTTTTTAATTGCCTAGAGAATGTTGTTATGATTATGATCCTGTTCCTTATCTTACAAGGTGATGGCTGTTAACTGGTGAAATTCATAGACTGTGTTGGATTTAGATTTCTTTTTCCCTTTTCACCTGTATTTCAGGATATCAATGCTTATAATTGTGAAGAACCCACAGAAAAGTTACCTTTTCCTATCATCGATGACAAAAATCGGGACCTGGCCATCCTGTTGGGCATGCTGGACCCAGCAGAGAAGGACGAAAAAGGCATGCCTGTGACAGCTCGAGTGGTGAGTCACAGAAATCTACTCATAGTCGGGCACATATAAATGCTGCACCAGCCAGAAGAAATAGGGGAATATCTACAATTATAAAATAACTGGATTAGTGACTTTGTAACTCATCATCTGTAATACTGATGCAAAGCAACTAAAATTTTCAGCTACATTTTTAAACTGCTTAAATTTATAGCTCTTGGAAATCTGAAGAATAAGCTGTTTATTATTCTAAACTGTCATCTAGACTCAAGAAACCTTTCCTCAGCTCTCCAGATAGCTGTCTTTAAAGTGATGGGCCATCCCCTTCAGAATTCTTGAATACCTATCTGCCTGTCCTCTGCACTGAGAATAAACCCAGTCCCTCATCTGCACGAATGTTCAGCTTTTTGAGGACTGACATCAGCTCCTCTTAGTATTATTTTTGTGCTAACCATCTTTTGTTCACATAGTGCCTTCCTGGGGCCTTTTCTATATTAAATATGCATATCAGTTTTTCTTATAGGGACAGCCAGGACCAGATAGCATTCCCTCCCAAATTTATAAAAATAGCATAGAGAGAGGGCAGGCAGGTGGTGCAGTGGTTAAGGTGCTGGACTCCCACACTACCGACCATGGTTCAAGTCCCCGACCTGGCAGCTTGCTTTCTCACTTTCCCTGATCAAATGAATAATAATAATAATAAAATAATTTTTTTAAAAAGAGCATGGAGAGGAAAATTGCCTATATTCCAGCCTCCCAGATTAGCAGCTTAGTGCCTCCTTCTAGTTGCTTTGTTTTTTTGTTTGCATACCCTTGAACATTTGAAATGACTGCTGAGCTTTCTAAATGCCTTAAGTATCAAAAGCCCTGAAAGAGCTCTTCCTAGTTCTGCCTTTGTGTACTTTGCAGGTGTTCATTTTTGGCCCTGATAAGAAATTGAAGCTGTCTATTCTCTACCCAGCCACCACCGGCAGGAATTTTGATGAGATTCTCAGAGTAGTCATCTCTCTGCAACTGACAGCAGAAAAGAGGGTGGCCACCCCAGTCGACTGGAAGGTAAAGATGTTAAAAGAGCAGATATTCAACTTGCCCAGTGGGCCGAAGGGCCAGTCTCTAAACTACTACCTTCAGAGTCTGTGTTCCTCACGTGGTGTGTTTCTGGCATCAAAGTATAAAGAGAAGATTTTTTTTCTCCCAGCCAAGTTCAAGATTTGTTAAAAGGTCATTTTGAAGGTTTTGGACACATTTTTCTAAAACACAAGCCCAACTGCTTTCTATTAGATAATTTGGACAAATTAATTGGTCAGAATGATTCCTTTTACTAATGTAAAGTTTTTAAGAAGAAAGAAAGAAAAATAATACTTTTAGCAAAGCTTTCCCCAATGCCAAAATATTTCAACTTTGCCATTTTTCTGGAGTCCCAGCTATAAAACTATTGATTTATTAATGTGACAAAGCACTTTATTTCTTTTAAACTTCAGTCATGAAGTTTATTAATTTCATTAATACATTTTTACTCTAGGATTTCTGCAAATATATAGGACATGGGTAATATCACATGAGCCAGCCCACATGCATCTCTTAATGTTGCTACATTTTTTAAATATGCTAACCTGTATAACAGGTTTCATTGGTTTGGGTTTTGGTTTGGGGGGGGGGGGATTTTCTTTTCTTCTTTTTTTTTATTTTTTTCCCTGATGGAGAAATTATTTAAATTCTGTGACCCAGCTTGGGAGAGTTGGCCTTATCTTTGGTTGTGTAGGAATGTCTTTCTCTTAAGTGACCTTTGGGATGAAAATGATGAAAGCATGTGATCATGTCATGTGTGTTTTGAGGGAAGTTCACTGAAGGTAGAAAGAATAGTTAGTACAGGATCTTCATCTAAAAGTGACCTTGACATATTGGAGGGATAGAGGGAAAGCCAGAGTGCCTGGAAAAGCAGCAGCAGCAGAGAGATTGAGAGAGGAGGCAGGATTCAGTCCTACAGAGCCAGGAAGCATGGTATAAACTTAGAACTAAAATCCAAAGTGTAGTGGCAGCCATTACAACACTTTTCCTTATTTATATGGGGAAGCACTTCACACAAGTGTCAAAAATCAACTATGTAAACAAAATTCCTCAGGCCCAGCCACTGTGGCATGCACTGCTACATTGCTGTGCTCCACAGGCTGGGACAACATAGAAGTCTTGGGTTCAATTCTTGGTCCAACCTAAAAGCCAGGCACGATGACATGTACCTCTAATCCCAGTAACTCCAGAGGCTGAGGCAGATGATTGCAAGCTCGAGGATGGCTTGAACACAGCAAGACCCTATCTAAAAGAGCCAGATGCAGTGGCACACACCTGTAGTCCCTGGTGGTAAGTTGAGGCAGGATTGCCACATGGTGAGATCCTGTCTTAAAAGGAAAAAAAATTCTCTCAGAAGGGAGAGAGTAAAGAATATTTAATTATTCTCATTAGCACCTATAGCTACTTTTCTAAAATTCATTCTTAAAAAACTTAAAGCTTTACTATGAGACTGAATTTTCCCATTCTCAACATCTTTCAATAGGATGGTGACAGTGTGATGGTTCTTCCAACCATCCCTGAAGAGGAAGCCAAACAACTTTTCCCTAAAGGAGTCTTCACCAAAGAGCTCCCATCTGGCAAGAAATACCTCCGCTATACTCCCCAGCCATAAGGCTCAGCGAAGAGCTGGTGCTGGAGCAGCTCGCTCAGCACAGTGAGCTAGGGGACATCTGCCACCAGTCATGTCTTCCTGCAGCAGTTGTATAAAAACATCTGGAGTGATCACAGCTACTGTCCTTAGGTCCTGTGCTACCAACTTATTAAATGAAAATGGCACCAAAAGATTCTTGGGATTCTTGACTCTGTGCCTTCACCAGCATTCTGCTCTGTTTATATCTCTCAGCAATCTGCTGGCTCTTTCTGAAATACATTTTATATTTGAGACTGCTGTCTTATTAGATCAGGATTGTGACCAATGAGGTAGTCTCTGTTGATAGTCAAAAAAGCTTCAGACCATCCTAGAATGACTATCAATTTTTTTTAACTAACCTAACCAAATCCCCGCTTTGTCTCCCATTTTGGAGAGCCACAGAACTTGAGGTTCATATTCTTCTGTAAATAGCTAACGATATCACCCAGAATAACCCAGATGTTCTTTAGTATTGAGTGTTTTGATCACAGCTGGAAGAAAAAACTTTAATTCTGTACTTTTCTAGATATCTAAAGTGGGAAGAGCAGCGGGCGGGATATGTAAGTATTTTGCTATAAAGAATTTACAGAAAATTTCTATCAAAAGGGGGAGGCTGCAGAAAAGGCTTCCCTTGCCTGCCAGTAGGTGTACCAGATGATATGAGTGGTGCAAGTGCCATGTGCCTTTCACACAGAGCACTTCCACATGTCATTCTGTTCTCCTTGTGTACCTGAAAGGGCATCATGCCTTGTGAAGACAGGAGAGGATGCTCACAAATATTTTATTATAGATCTGTTCTGCAGTAGTTTGCTATTTTCTGAATTTTGCTTTTTGGGGATCCGTGAATAAAATCCTTTGTTAAAACTGGATCAGAGAATTCTTTTGTCACATTTTGAAGTACTATTTTAGACATATGTCCTAAAGTGCAGAAGCTGCTTCTTGCTAGGATTGGCATGAGTGCTTTTCTCCAAAAACAGATATTTGACTCCTCATATGAGACCAGAGAGGCAACTGAAGATCCTGTGAGTCACCATGCATCTTGCCTACTTTGCTCCTTTGTGATACCCACCTGGTCCCTGAAGTTCTTTGATACTGTGACCCCAGGTATAGAGCCATCTCCTGACCTAATACCTTAGTGGGATTGGTAGGTTCAAGAACATGAATCTTAAGGATAAAAATTCATCTCTGCTTTTTGCAACTCAGAACTCATGGATTCCTTGATTTTTTTTTTTTATACCTTGCTAATAAGTCCTAGATTTAGAAAGAAGTTTTCCATTCATGGTGTCTTCATCTGCTTAACCAAAATGTTACAGACTGGAAGACATAAACCAAAAATTTATTTCTCACAGTTCTGGAGTCTAGAAGTCCAAAATAAAGGTGCTACGGTGCTGGTGGATCCTACCTCTGACAGGAGCTCTCTTCCTGGCTTGTAGACAACTGTCTTCTTGCTGTACCCTTACATTTTTGGTTTCTTGATGGTGTTTTTATTTTTTGCCATAAGTTGGGTATGCTTTCCAGAGAGAAAAAAAGGGAAAGTGGCAAAGCATCCCCCAGACCTAGTGGCTTAAAATTCATACTGGTTGTGGGACCAGCAGTTAGCGTAATGGCTACGTCGCTGGACTCCCACGTAGTCGACCACGGTTCGAGTCCCGGACCTGGTGGCTTAAAATCACACCGGGCGTGTGTGCTTGCGTGCCCAAGATCCTGAGAGGAGAATGGAGGAGAAAGGATTGTGGCGTGGCCATCCCATCTGGGGGGTGATTTCTCACTTTCTGTCTCTCTCTCTGTCTGGTGAGCACACGCGCCCTATAGCAAAAACCTCTCCAAAAAAGAAATTCATACTGGTTGCATGTGCATGCGTGCCCAAAATCCCAAGAAGAGAATGGAGAAGGGATTGCGACATTGCCATCCCCTCGGGGGGGAGGGGGTGATTTCTCGCTTTCTTTCTCTTTCTCTGTGTCTCTGACAAGAGCATACACCCTATAGCAAAACTAAATTTAAAAAAGAAAAAATAATAATAGATGGTATAAAGGGTGGCCAGGTTAAGAGCCAGTCCAACTCAGCATGAATTTTGAGGTAGTTGTAGCCACTACAGTTCTGACCTGGGACGGAATCAATAACTGCGAAGAGAAAGCTCTTTGTCATGCTCCTGAACAGCAAATGGGATGTCTGTGTTACAACAAATGTGTTATGGGCATCGCTTTGAAACCATAAAGATAAAAATCACAGGACAAGGACAAAGGACAGAAGGCTACAAGAAGTTGGGGCCTGGGAACAGCAGTTAGCGTAATGGCTATATCGCCGGACTCCCATGTAGTCGACTGCGGTTCGCGTCCTGGACCCAGTGGCTTAAAACACGCCGGGTGCATGTGCATGCGTGCCCCCAGAAGGGGTTGCGGTGTGGCCATCCCCCCTGGGGTGTGATTTCTCTCTTTCTGTCTCTCTGTCTCTCTCTGGTGAGCGCACGCACCCCATAGCAAAAACTTCTAAAAAACTCAAAATAAGAAGTTAGGGCTATACAACATCCTCAAGAAGCTGCAACAGGCCTGTTTTCCAACTTCAAGACTTCTGGACATATTGGGAAACAAGCCCTATATGGTTTTGCTGCTGTGATGAGGGTCCTGCATGCTCAGCCATGTTTGCTGACACATAGGTCCAACTACTCTGAGAATTTCCACCCTATGATGCTAAGTATACAGAAGGTTCTGAACTAATTGTTTAAGCTTGACTTTTTGTCTTGTATTTATATTTGTCTATTCTTGCCTCTGTTTTGGTTGCCCTAAAGCAGCATGTAATTTTTTCAAAGCCTTGAGAAATTAAAAGAAATTATGGATTATAAATAATAAATGGTCAGCTGTAATGTTCAACTTTATTTAACTTTTAAAGATAAAATGAAAAGTGTTATCAAACAGTACGGTACATACTAAGGATTTCTCCTAAACTAAGATTATAGAACAAAGTCCCATTTTTCAACATGAGGGAAGAAAAAACAAGTATACTCTGGAAAATATTAGTCACAAGTTATAACAATTTCATAAATAAAAATTACAGGACCTATGCTTTTGACAGTAACATAATAATTGATAATGTACTATATTATAACTTGCTCTTAGCTGGAAACAGGGTTTCATTTTGCAGATCACAAGTCAGAATATCTTACATTTCTGAAGAATTTTTGAACATCTGAAGTACAATGCAACTACTTAAAGAGTTTTGGGGCCAGCAAGTGACATGGTAGTTAAGGCATTGATTCACACATGGGCAACTGTGGCTTGAGACCCAGACCTGATGGAATGAAAATCACACTGGTGCACATGTGTGCATGTCCAAAATCCTTAGAAAATGGTGAAGGGATTGCAATGTAGCCACCCCTCTTGCAGAGGAGAGCAGGTGATTTCTCACTTTCCCTCTCTCTGTCTCTCTCTCTAAGCACATACCCCATGGCAAAAACCTAGATAATTTTTTTTAATAAAATTAGAATTTTTATAATGGGGCCAGCAGTTGGCATAATGGCTATGTCACTGGAATCCCATGAAGTCGACTATGATTCGAGTTCCAGACCCGGGAGCTTAAACTCATGCCCGGGATCCAGAGAGGAGAATGGAGAAGGGATTGTGGTGTGGCCATCTCCTCTGGGGAGGTGATTTCTCACTTTCTGTCTCCCTGTCTTTCTCTGTCTTTATGGCAAGTGCATGTGCCCTATAGCAAAAACTTCTCAAAAAAAATTTTTTTATAGCAGTTCACAGTTGCTTATAAAATAAATGCAGCAATAAATGGTTTCTGTAACTTCTAAGTAAACTCTTTGCAGATCCATGGGCATTTGAGCTAGGATATTAGCTTATTCTTCACCTGATTCCACACATCTTAACATCAGTAAGAACCTTATCTAGAATGATACCGAGTTTCCAGCTATAAAAGAAAGTCAAAAGTAAAATATTAGACTATGAACCTATCAGGAAACTTACCTGTTAAACAAAACCATAAAATGTACTGAAAAGTTTTCATTCTATTATCTGAAACATTCTCAAAGAAATATCTTACATATTAAGGGCTTTGCATTTTCATTAAAATTAATTACATGTGTGTCTCTATCATCTTGTAAAAAGATACTACATTCATTCAATTAGTTTATTAAAGGTGTACTTAAGGAAAAGAGACATGTTATAAAAGTTGAATTTCAGCTAACTTTATGAGCGATTGCAGAGTAACTGGAAGTTCCTCTCATAAATTGAAATGAGGTCCAGCCCTATAACACATGGCTAAATGTGAAGAAGCCAGATCCCATGTGGCCATACCTGGTTTTTATGCACCCTCGTGGCAACATGCCAGGCATGCATGCTCATGCCCAGTATCCTGATAGGATGGAGAATGGAGGAAAAAGAATTGCAGAGTGGCTAGTCCCCACTGGGGAGGTGCTTTCTCTCTTTTCTTTCTCTTTCATGCACATGCACACATCCTCTGGCATAATTTTTTTTAAATGAACATAAAATAAATTGGGATGAAACTTTTTTTCATAACAGGGCTTGGAAGATAACAAATGAGGAACTCAGACTTTTGACTCTCAATTAGGTTTACCACTTATAGGGATGACCCAGGAGGGTTGCCTAAAATGTTTAAAGTGGGGTGTGCTGTGGATCTCAATGAATTGTGCTGTGGTTCCCAGTGATGTCTGGGTCTTTGTGGGGTGTGCTGTGGGTCGAAGATTTGTGCTTTGGGTCTCAGTGATGTGTGCAGTGGTCTCAATGAGGTATCCTGTGGGTTGCAGTGGGGTGTGCTCTGGGTTAAAGTGGGGTGTGCAGTGGACCTCAATGAAAAGTTCTGTGGGTCCCAGTGAGTTTTGAGTGTGTGTGGGGTGTGTTGTGGGTCCCAGATTTGTGCTTTGTGTCTCAGTGATGTGTGTGGTGGTCTCAATGAGGTGTCTTGTTTGTTGCAGTGGGATGTGCTGCTGGTTTTAGTGGGGTGTACTGTTGGTTAAAATGGGGTATGTTGTGGATCTCAATTGCGCCATGGTTCCCAGAGAGGTTTGTGTCTTTGTGGGGTGTGCTGTGGTTTGCAGATTTGTGGTTTGGGTCTCAGTGATGTGTGTGGTGGTCTCAGTGAGGTGTTCTGTGGGTTGCAGTGGGGTGTGCTGTTGTTTAAGGTGGAATGTGCTATGAGTTAAAGTGGGGGTGTACTGTAGATCTCAATGAATTGTACTGTGGGTCCCACTGAGGTTTGGATCTGAGTG